TGAAAAATTAATTTTAAATTATTACATTTTGAAAAAGTCCCCAGAAATGTAGAAGAAACAAATAAATACCAAAGTAAATACAAGTTCTCTCTGGATAAATATGTATTTATATCAAGAAGTGGAATGCTGCTAATGAATTTCTAATGTAAATGAGTAAGTTAGATTTCCATATGTGTGTAAATTGAAGAAAAGAAAAGACCTATAAACACCATATATGAAGTATAGCACAAAAAAAATCTTATGGAAAACAGCAAACCAACCCATGTGGTGGGAAAAATATCCCACCCCCCCCAAAAAATAGAGAGAGATTTATGTTGTAGATGGAATTAAGGTTGGTAATCATCTGACCTTAAAATCTGGAGTTTAATCTATATTATCTAGGTGGATCTAATGTAATTACAAAGGTCCTTTAAAAAGTGGAAATGGGAGGCAGCAGAAAACTGTCAGAGGGATGGGGTGTGGGAAAGACTCTACTGCCATTGCCAGCCTTAAAGACAGCAGGAGACCTCGAACCAAGGACTGTGAGTTGGCTCCACAAGATGAAAAAGTCAAGAAAGTCAATTCTCCCCTGAAGCCTCCAGAAAAGAATGCAATCTGCCAACATCTTGATTTTAGCCTAGTGACATATCATATGTTCTTGATTTGTAACATACAGAACTGAAAGATAGTAAATTTATGTTATCTTAGGCCACTAACTTTGTAAGTATATCATGGCAGCAATAGGAAATTAATGCAATCCCACAGAATTCAGTATGTAAAAGAATATTTGGCAAAAACAATAATTTTTAGATGTATACTAATCAATTTTTATAATACTCTTTTCATAAAGTTACAGAATATTATTTTTAAGCATGCACACACAAAAAAGTTAAATAACAAATCACGAAACAAGTATGAACTTATCAAAAATTTATAAATTTCATAACATTTTTAAAAAGTTTACAGAATTGGAGGATTAAAGTAGAATTGTCAAAAACATATATTATGAATAGTAAAAAGAAATTATTAATTAAGAGGGGAAATATTTTTCAATGACTACTAATTTCTGAAATTAAAAAGCATATAAAATTTCAGGTTTATAGGGACATATGATATGTCAAAGAATAGATTTAAAAAAAAACTACAATGTAAAGTAGATAATTAACTACTATTAAAATAAAGGTAAATTCTAAATTTTTCCAAAAAGTATAATCATATCACTCACACAGTGATACTCATCATATCAGAATTAGAATTTGCACAGTGGCACTAGATCCAGGAGAGTGCTAAAGCCATATTTGCAAATATTAGTAGGTATGTCTCACTTGCTGAAAAGAGTTTCCCACTGTGCGATATATAGATGCTCTAAATGTATATAAATAGGAAATAGCTATAAAAAATCCTCCTTATTTTTTCATTTGTACATGTTGTTATTCTTCATCCAATTTAACTACTTGAACAAAACAAAACACTCATTTTCTCTGTTTCCTTTATAGATTTGGCATTCTTAAATATTTGATAGTAATTATTATATTAATAACAGTAGAAGAGGGAATGAGAAGGCATGCAAAGACACTTATGTATTAGCAGTCAATTAAACGAAGGCAGAAATTATTGGTAATCTGGCAATGTATTTCTTCTGTCACATCTTTAAGACTTTAATTCTGTGAAACTTCTCTTTTCCTTGACCACACCATACATGATTTAGCTTCAATTTTTTTGCATTTGTGTTCTCGCTGCCTGGAACGCTTCCTTCTACCATCCCCCAGATTCTACATGCCTTGCTTCCTCACCTTCTTTAAACTTTTATTTAAATGTCACATTTTTAGTGTTAGTTGCCCTAACAATATTCCTTACAATTGCCAAACTAACCATCACCATCCCCACCTCCACCCTGCACTTTATGTTTCAACATAAAGCTTAAACATTTATTTTATTTATTCTCTTTTGTCCTTTTCCTCTTACTAGGGAAAAAGTCATTATGTTGGTTCTCATTACTTCTATATGGACAGTGCCTAAAAAATAGTAATTAATGCATATTTTCTGAATGATCAGTGAATAAACCATGAAACCTATTTTTCCTTCTCAGTGACCAAGATCAGTTCCCATCACCCATGGGCAAGCTTTCTGGAATGGAAGCCTGAAAACTCAGCTCTACAGCATTATAAGTGCTTCTTTTTCCCTATTTCTGTCCCTCATCACAAATATGGGATAATAAACTCATATGATGTTAGGAATAAAGGAGACAAAACTTATTTGACAAATTTCTTCATTGTACAGGCTTCAGAACGGAAATCAAGAGTATCCTACAAAGATATACAACTATTATGTAAGCATAATAATTAAAAATTTAAAAAACAAGATAAGGCAATTTTTACATGGTTTTAGATAAGTAATCATTGGGAAAGTGATGACAAAATAAGTAGACTCTGCCATCTGTAATTTTACATCCTCTTTCCATTAATTATGGGAAACCTGCAGAAGAATGGCATGATAGATCTTAGTGGGGTGCAAAATTATATGGATTTTTTCACTTTAAGGTAGTGTAATTATGTTAAATATTTAATTATTATAATGATATCATAGTGTACTTTTTCACTTTTCAGTGTCACATAGATATGAAATATTGAATCAATGTAGTAGTTGCACAATTTTAAGAAGATACACCCAGATTTAATACAATCATTAGCCTACATATTGTGGGACAAGTACCAGCCCCACCCTTCTTGAAGTGTTCAGTATAAAGAACCTAGAACCAATTTCAGGAATCCAATTGGGAAAAAAAAAGCTTAAAGATTTTATAAGATTTAAAAGAAAATAATGATTTTTCCCCTGGCAATAGGATACTCCTAAACTTCAGAAGATAGTCCCAGAATCAAGACATGGGTTATCTATATCCATTACTATTCAGCTTCACAAGGCAAAGGTTAATACTGAGCTCAGAGCCTTGTAGGCTCCATTATCCCCAGGGTGTTCTGATATAGGGCATTGCAAAGATCTCACTCTGGAGGTTTTTTCCACAATAAAAAAACACCTCTTCCCTAAGCAAATGGAATTCAGAAGGATGCTAAAGGAGATTTGCCAACTTCTCCAGGTGTCTACTGATGGGTATCATTTTAGAAGTACAGATCCTTATCTGTGGCTAGCTGAGAACAAGAAAAAGAGAAGTAGTAGGTGATAAAATAAGAGGAAAAAGGAAAACTGTTCTGACTGAGGGAGGGTGATAAGGGAACTAATTATAAGAATGTGTTGCCATAATCTCACATATACTTAAGCAACTTTTATCTTCACAAGCTAAAAGATATGAGAACCAAGTTCTCTATAGGTTTTTTTTTTGTCATATTCCTCTCAATAGTATAAGCAGTCACTGTAATGATAATTTTTGATGTTCTATCTTGGATCAGGCATACTTTGCTAGAATCTTATAATGTAGGCATTTTTGTCTCATTTCGTAGGTAAGGAGTCTTAGAGGCAATGAGCAACAGAACTTGGATTCAATTACTGGTGTCAGTTTCTAAAGTTTATGCTATTTCCATAAACTAAGCTCTTTTAAACTAACTCAACCCAAGTCACAGGGGATAAATCTGATTATAGGCTTTTACTACATCTCCTTCCTCAATCCCCTAACTGTAAATGCAACTCCTTGTATATAGTCATCCCTGCTCAAATTAGGAATAGCTATTTTTTTCTTCCTTGAAATCTTTCTTCTATTCTCTCAATCTAGTAATTTATTTGCCTTTGAGTAGTTATCTTAACTCAATTTTTTGTCTCCTTCATGTATTTGGGATCAAATTCTGCATTCTACAAATTTCAAGCTTCAACACAACCTTCCAAGACACATGTGCATGCACGTGCATACACACACACACACACACACACACACACACACATACACAGAGAGGCACACAAGTGTATGGAAGAGGAAAAATGCTCTTGATCACAGTGTGCTTAGCTTTACGCTTTTTTAAGGTGATGTATCATGGCAAGAGAAATGATAGATTCAGTATCAAGGAGTGGTGTGTATAAATTAACTCACTTTCCTGACAATTTAGTGATATTTTATAAACTTGAGCATTAATGTCTGTGTGTGTGCGCAGATATGTAAATCAGTGTTCCTTTCTTGGCAGTGATCAGCAGAAAGACACTTACAAATGACAAAGCCTAACATCAGTTTGGAGATGAAGAGGGATATATGCATTGCATTGTAAGCAGACACAGAATAAGAAGATTATCCTGAGAAGATTTTTCAGAGTAAGGGGTTTCATTAATAAAAGCTTAAGGAAGGGTATCTCTCCCATATTGTCAGCAACAGGAAAGAAAAGATTGGAAGATGACTATGGAATGAGAAGTGGATTCAGAGGCTTAAATAAAGGGAAACTTGCACATGTCCAAATTTGCCTTAAATGTTCCATTTTGCTGCATTTATGGTTTCTTTTAAGACTGAATTATAAATGCTCAGCTCAGAAATGTGAATTGTAATGGCTTTCATCATGTTTAAACTATGTATCTACTTCTTTCTCTATGAAATATATATTCACAAATTAAATAATTTTTATATAAAATTATTTTAAATATTTTCAGGAGAATCTTTGTGTATCTAAGGTAGCAAGAGAACAATTTTATTTTATCCATACTTTATTAGTTTAGATTGATGATTTGTGTAACTGTTACAACCACTAACGCAATGTTAAACCACTAATTAACTTCTCTAAGGAAAGAAATCTTCTCTAGTTTATCTTTTACAATCAATCTTAGCATAGAACTTGGTGCATACATGGTAGATAATTAATGTTTGTTGAACTAAAATATTGAATTTAGTGAATGAAATTATGGCACCATATTTTTACCTTTAAATTTTATGTACTTTCAAATATTTTTGGTGAAGCAATATTGGTAGATACGATAAAAGTTTCACTGATCTTTTCATTTATCTCTGTGTGCTAAGGCAAGGATAAGCCCCACTCGATGAATGAGAGATATTTAGTCTATGATATATTTTAGTATAAAAAGATCCCAGAATAATGGTCCCACTTAATATGACTCAATTTCATCCCTCTTCTTTCCTTCTTCTGGGGATCCCTGGGCTGGAAAATATGCATCTCTGGATTGGTTTTCCTTTCTTTGCTGTGTTTCTGACAGCTGTGCTTGGAAATATCACTATCCTTTCTGTGATTCGGAATGAGAGTACTCTCCACCAGCCCATGTTCTACTTCCTGGCCATTCTGTCATCTATTGACCTGGGCCTGTCCACATCCACCATCCCTAAAATGCTTGGCATCTTCTGGCTTACCCTGAGAGAAATCACTTTTGAGGGCTGCCTCATTCAGATGTTCTTCATCCACCTGTACACTGGCATGGAGTCAGCTGTGCTTGTGGCCATGGCCTATGACCGCTACGTGGCCATCTGTAACCCTCTTCGCTACACGCTGGTGCTGACAAACAAAGTGGTATTCAGCATCGCATGGATAATTCTACTGAGACCTTTGTCTTTTGCCGTACCCTTTGTTCTACTCATCCTAAGGTTACCATTTTGTGGAAACCGAATTATCCCGCACACTTATTGTGAGCACATGGGCATTGCCCGCCTGTCCTGTGCCAGTATTCGGGTCAACATCATCTATGGCTTATGTGCCATCTCTATCCTGGTGTTTGACATCATAGCCATCGTCATTTCTTATGTCCAGATCCTTCGTGCTGTATTTCGACTCTCTTCCCGTGATGCTCGAGTCAAGGCACTCAGCACTTGTGGCTCGCATGTGTGTGTGATGTTGACTTTCTATACTCCTGCATTTTTTTCATTCATGACCCATAGGTTTGGCCAGAATATACCACGCTATATCCACATTCTTCTGGCCAATTTCTATGTGGTTATTCCACCTGCTCTCAACCCTGTAATTTATGGTGTCAGAACTAAACAGATTAGGGAACAAGTACTGAAAGTCTTTTCCAAGAAATAAATAGAGATCTTGCATTCATAAAGAATCATATTTAAGTACTACGTGTCACTAATTTTCTATGGTCAAAATTTTGCCTGTTCAAACTGGAAAGTGAACATTTGGAAAGTATTCAGGACTATCTTGGGAGGAATTGTCAGTGGCAATTATTTGGCCTGTGCAGCCTTCTTCTGCAACCCAGAAGGGAAAAGTTAAGCACATGTCAAATGCATGAATAAAAGTGTTTTATTCATGTAATCTATGATTTATTTCATCAGTGTTTTGTAGTTCTCCTTGTAGAAATTTTCTACCTCCTTGGGTATATTCATAGGTATGTTATTTTACTTTCAGCTATTGTACATGGTATTGAGATTTTGATTTGACTTTCAGCTTTGCTGTTATTAGTATATAGAAATGCTACCCATTTGTGAGCATTAATTTTATAACCTGAGACTTTACTGAATTTATTTATCAATTCTAGGAGTCTTTTGGAAGAATGCTTAGGGTTTTCTAGATATAAGATTATATCATCAACAAATAAGAATAGTTTGATCTCTTCTATTCTGATTTGGATGGTCTTTATTTCTTCCTCCTGCCTGATTACTTTGGCTAGGACTTTTAGTACTAGGTTGAATAGAAGTGATGGCAGTGAGTATCCTTGTTTTGTTCTAGTTCATAGGGGCAATGTTTTCAATTATTCCCCATTCAGTATGATGTTGGCTGTGGGCTTGTCAATGTTTATAGCAGCACAATCCACAACTGGAAAGATATGGAATCAACATAAGTCCTATCAACTGATGAGTGAGTAAATAAAATGTGGGGGGTGTGTGTATGTGTATGTATATATATATGTGTGTGTGTATATATATGTATATATGTGTGCATATATATTATATATGAATATGTATAAACATGGAGCATTATTCAGCCATATAAAGGAATTAAATAAAGTCTTAATTTTAAGCAACTGGATGGAATTGGAGATCATTATCCCAAGTGTAGTATCTCAGGAATGGAAAAATAAATACTGAATATTCTCACTTGTAAGTGGGAGCTAAATGATGGCTATACATGACCATACGAGTGAAATAACAGACATTGAAAACTAAGAAGTGGGGAAGGTGGGAGAAGGGTGAGGTATCAAAACTTAACTATTGGGTACAATGTAAACTATTCAGGTGGCAGATACAGTAACAGCCCTGATTTCACTACTATACAATTCATCCATTAACAAAAATGCTCATATTCTCTAAATATATTAAAATAAAATATAAGTAAATGAATAAATAAAAGTGTTTTATAATTTTCCTTTCTTTGGAAATGATTCAGATTCCTAAGGTAGAGGAAAACTAAAACTTTATTATTAACACATTTCAGTTATGATTAAGCACATCACAGTCACAACCAGTTTAAAGCAAAACTAAGCAAAAAAGTACAAACATGCAAACAAAAACAACAAAAAACTATAAAGCCATTCATATTCTGAGTTTAATCAAAAACACTGGGTCAGCCTGATTAGTGCTGAATAATAAACACTGAATAATAAACACTGGGATATGTCACATATGGCTGGGTTTACTATCAGAAAGAATGTTATCTTTGTACCTCAAACATCTAGAAATAGAAATACCATTAGAAACCAGCAATAGCATTGTTAGGCATGTACCCAAAAGAGCATAAGACATTATATTATAAAGACATCTGCACCCGAATGTTTACGGTGGCACAATTCACTATTACAAGGACATGAAACAACCTAAGTGCCCGTCAATTCACGAGTGGATAATCAAAATTTGGTATTTACTCACAATGGAATATTACTGAATTCTAAGAAATGACAGTGAACTAGCACCGTTTCTGCTGCCCTGGTTAAACTTAAGCCTGTTATCCAAAGTGAGGCGACACAAGATCAGGAAAATGGGCTCCACATGTACTCGCCATCAAATTGGTACTGACAGATTAAAACTATGGTGCCCAAATGGTGGTAGTGCCCGCCAGGGATTCAGGGTGGGGAGAGACACACATCTGAGGGATATGGCGAGCACTGTGGAGGGGGAGGGCTTACCTTTAACCCTTCTAAGCGAGAGGCAAAGATATAAAATGCAACCAAAATGTCAAAAAAAAATAACAAACAAAATAAAACTAAAAGAAGTTTATCTGGTGGTGGGCAAGTGGGAGGAGGGAGGGGAATATGGATGTATACTTACATAATGAGTGTGATGCACACCACCTGGAGGATGGATACACTTGAAGCTCTGACATGGTGTGGGGGGGTAGGGATGGCAAGGGCAATATATGTAACCTTAACAATATTTGTACCCCCATAATATGATGAAATAAAAAAAAAAGAATGTTATCTTTGGCTTAACCAAGTTAATATTAATGTTAATGACCATTATCAAAAAGTCAAACAATGATAGATGTTGACATGGATGCAGAGAGAAAGGAACACTTATACACTATTGGTGGGACTGCAAATTGGTCCAAACTCTATGGAAACAGTATGGAGATTCCTCAAAGAAGTAAATGTATACTTGCCGTTTGATCCAGCAATCCCACAGCTGGGTATCTACCCATAGGAAACTAAATCATTTTATAAAAATGTCATTTACACTTGGATGTTTACTGCAGCACAATTCACAGTTGCAAAGATGTAGAATCAACCTAAGGACTCATCACATCATGATAGGACAAATGAAGTATATACATACACACACACACACACACATAAACCTGTGGAGTACTACTCAGACATTCAGCCATAGAAAGGAATAATGTCTTTTTCAGCACTTGGAAGGAACTATACTCCATTATAATAAGCAAAGTATTTCATAAATAGAAAAACAAACATCACATGTAATCACTAATAATTAGGAGCCAAATGATGGGCACACATGGCACAAAATGATGTAAAGAACATTGGAAACAAAGAAGAGGTGAGGGTGGAAGGTGATGATGAGTAAAACTTACCTATTGGGTACAATGAACAGTATTCTGGTGAGGGGCACACTGAAAGTCTTGACTTAAGCATTATACAAGGTATCCATGTAACAAAAACATTTGTACCCCTTTAATATTTTGAAATAAAGAAAGAAAGGCAGAGAAACAGAACCATAATATCATCAAGTCAGTGTAGTAAGCAACCATGGGGACTCTCACTCCAAAATTCTTAATTTGTGAGAATAAATTTGTGCTTATACTTAGAAAAAGAATGTAATTCTGGAGATAGACATCTTAAGTTAAAATCCTAGCTCCACCTTTATGATCCCTGTGACCATGGAAAAATCAACTAATTTCTCTGTGTCTCAGTTTTCTCTTTTGTAAAATAAGCATATTAACATTACAAATCTTATAAAGTCTGCATGGGGAATGACTGGGCTAAGGTACATAAAAATACAGAATGGACTAGTTAGAATGTAAACCCTGTATAAGATTCACATATTACTGAAAATGAATGTTTATATGTTTGATTCAACTTTATCAAACTACTGGTGGAAATGGTTTCTCCCCACTCTTGATGTTCAAGTATTGTACAGCCCATCCTTTATTCACCCCTTATTCACTATGTGCTAGGGAGAAGTAGTAATGGATTTGAAAATTTGGTAAGAATAAACAGAGTTTAATTAAGCCCCCCACCCTCACACACACTTTTCGGTAATAAGGCTTTCTAAAGAAGCCATGTGTGCTCCCTAGTGGTCATCCACACACTGTCTTCCCATTCTGATGAGGAATATATGCCTTGCCTTGGGGGTTAGTTAGTGTTCACTGGTTTACAAACCAAACTAAGACCTTCACAAAAGTGTTCATCACTATTTTTGAAGGATAATATTTGGAACTCACATCTTCCATTTTTCTATTTTTATCTCAATCTCTTCAGGAATCACAAAAAAGAAATATAAGTGAGAATAAAAATATATGTAGAGTCACATAATTCAAATTGTCAAATGTCATTGGACATAAGCTCAGACTGAATATTCTTAATTACAGACAAAACATATGATTTCAATGTTTTTAAAATTTAAGATATTAGATAAAATACTGGGCTTTGATTATCAGTTTAAAACGTTAAGACCTTTTTCTTGACACATGAAAGGTGAATAGGGCAAATTTAGTTGGTCTCCACTTCATATGTTAGAAAGTGAATGGAAAGTAAGCTTTCCTCTAAAAGAGAGGAGGGGGAATAATGGAGGAATAAATAAAAGAATAATTACAGTATCTTAGAAAGAACTCCAGAATGTCATCAAAATGTCCCAGGAAAAGACAGTTTGAAGTAAGATTTTCTCATAAATTCTTCCTCTTTTATAAACCTGGTCTCCAAACATGTTCAGACTTATATGTTTTTTTGTTTTGTTTTGGTTTTTTTGTTTGTTTTTTATAATGGCAAGATTCAGGCATTTAGGCCAATTTGAACTTTTAAATACATTGTGTGTCAATCATAATGATTTGATCCAAATTATTAATTGAAGTTCTCTAATGAAATTCTTATTTTACAGTAATCCCACTATTTAATAAGTGTTTCTGAAATGAATAGATAATCTATAGTTATACCTGTTTAAGCATATAATTATCTTTGAATAAGTTACTTCCTACAAAATAACCTGAGCTATTTTATCATAAAAGGAGGACCTTAATGAAGAATCATACATTCTAAGATAGATATATGTTTTGTTCAAATATCACTCACCAACAAAAATAATTTAGTCTAGAGGCTTTGGAAAACTGAAGAATTTAAGAAACCTGTCCCATATCCTCTTGGTTCTTACCCCATAGATAATGGGATTCATCATGGGTGGGACAAGAAGATATATGTTGGCCACAAATATGTGGACATGGGAAGCCACATGATGCCCAAACCTGTGTGTAAGAAAAGAGAAGAAGGCTGGGGTATAGGACACTAAGATAACACAGACATGGGAGCCACAGGTACCTAAGGACTTGAGCCGGGCTTCTTTGGATGGGAGTTGAAAGACAGTGTGGAGTATGAGAGCATAAGAACAAATGATTAATATAAAGTCCAACCCCCCAGTAAAGAAGGCAACAATGAGGCTGTAGGCTTTGCGGATTCTTGTCTCAGCACAGGCAATCTTGATGAGGGCCATGAATTCACAGTAGGTGTGAGAAATGATGTTGGTTCTACAGTAGGGAAGCCAATATAGCAGGAAGGGGTGAGGACTGAGAAGTGCTGTGCCCCTGAGTAAAATTGCTAGGCCCATTGCCCTGATGACAGAGTGTGTCAGGATAGCTGAGTGTCTTAATGGTTTACAAATGGCCACATATCTGTCAAAAGCCATGGCCAAGAAGAAGCCAGACTCCATGGTGGAGCAAGAGTGAATCAGGAACACTTGTGTGAGGCAGGCTTCAAAGCGAATCTCTCCATCATTGAACCAGAAGAGGCTGAGAAGTTTGGGCACAGCTGTAGTACATACAACAAGGTCAGCCACAGCCAGCATGCAAAGGAAGAGGTACATTGGCTCATGGAGGCTGGAGTCTGTCTTGATGATAAACAGAAGAGAACAGTTTCCCAGGAGGGCCAAAAGGTAGACCACACAAAAGGGGATGGAGATCCAGATGTGGACAGCCTCCAAACCAGGAATGCCAATAAGAATGAAGGTTGATGGATGGGCATCGGTCTTATTGTATGCTGACATAACAAGGGTCAGATGTTTCAGTTCTCTCTTCATGATTTTTTTCCTCTAAGGCAAACAAAATAATAATTTATAAATTTTAAGATTTCTTTTGAATTAAAACACACAGAAATTCTTAGCAATGGAGTAATTACAATGCCTATAACTGTTTAGATAGAAATTATTTCATTATTTGACAGAGAATCAGATATTATTATAGAGTTACTCTACCTTGAAAAAGGTACCACCTTAATAAATACTGAGGATATCTTCAGTGAAAGCTAAAACAAGTATGGTGTTCCCCTCATTGAGATGCACTGAACTCCATGAAACTTCTTATCCATGTACAAAGGAGCTTCAATAACTTTTACCAATATATTGCCATTGATATATTTATTGATATAAACAATTGTAATTTGCAATGTTACTGATGTGTAAATGCTAAGTGAAGAAAAATATTTACTACCAAAGCCAGAGAGAGTTAAATATATAAAAATCAAATAATCTTCCATTGAGAAGATAATGATATCAATTGAAAATTAAAGAATGTAGTTTTGGCATGAAATTATACACCATGATTTTATTGTAATGTTGCCTATAATAGGCTAAAAATTAAATCATCAAAATATTCATCAATAAAATGATAGTTAACGCAAAGAAATAACTCTTTGAAAAAGCAAGAGAAAAGTATCAAGTCATATACAAGAGAATTCCCATTAGACTAACAGAAGATTTCTCAGTGGAAACCTTACTGGCGAGGAGAGAATGGGATGATATATTCAAAAAGCTGAAAGAAAAAAAAATTGAGGGAATTCATCACCACTAGACCACCCTACAAGAAATGCTCGAGGCAGTACTATATCAGGAAAAGAAAGGGGGATTTCTATCATCATGAAAACACATGAAAGTATAAAATTCACCGGTATAACATATCCACAAATGGGAGAGAGATAAACAATAAGGGAAGAAGAAAGGAACAAAGGATATGCAAAATAATCAGAGGCCAATTAATAAATGACAGGAATAAATCCTCACCTATCAATAACAACCTTGAATGTAAATGGCTTATTAATAAATTTCCCAGTTAAAAGATATAGAGTGGGTAAATGGATCAAAAAAGACACAGCTATATGCTGGTTTTAATAAAATTACTTCCCTTGTGAAGACACAAAGTTTAATGTTGGAAAATGATATCCCAAACAAACAAAAATAAAAATAACCAAAATTGTGTAGGAATAGCTGTACTTATGATAGACAAAATAGGTTTTAAGTCAAAAAACATAAAAGGTGACAAAAAAGTTCATTGTGTAATGATAAAAGGATTGACTCAGAAAGAAGATAAAACAAATATAAATTTATGTGCACCCAACACTGGAGCAATCAGACATACAGCAAATATTATTGGAGCTAAAAAGATAGATAGAACCAAAAACAATAGCAATTTGGGATTTCAGCACCACACTTGCAGCATTGAACAGATCATCTAGATAGAAAATCAACAAAGAAACATTGAACATAGACCAAATGGACATAACAGAAGCAGAATACACATTCCTCTCTTCAGCACATGGAACATTTACAGGATAGATGATATGTTAGATCACAAAGTATGTCTCAACAAATTTTAAAACATCAAAATCATATCAAATGTCTTCTCAGACCACAATGGAATAAAACTATAAATCAAACACTAGAGAAAGTCTGAAAACTGTGCAAAGACATGGAAATTAAACAATATATTCCTGAATAACCTATGGGTCAATGAAAAAATTAAAAGAAATAAAAAATTATCAGAACAGATTAAATGCGAACACAACATGTCAACACCTATGGGTAATAGCAAAAGTTGTACTAAGAGGGGCATTTATAGCAACAAACACCTTTATCAAAAAATAGAAATATTTCAAATAAACAATCTAATGATTCACTTCAAGGAATTAGAAAAGAACAAACCAAACTGAAAATTAGTGGAAAGAATGAACTAATAAAAACTGGATCATAATTAAGTGAAATAGAGACAAAATACAAAAGATTAATGAAATAAAAACTTGCTTTATTGAAAATATTTTAATAACTGACAAACCATATGCTAGACTAAGAAAAAAGGAGAGAAACCCAAATAAAAAAAATTAGGAATAGAAAAGGAAATATTACAACTGATATCACAGAAATACAAATGATCATTAGAAACTATTTCAAACAAATATACACCAAGAAGTTAGAAAATCCAACAGAAATACAAAAATGGATAAATTCTTGAACACATATAAGTGATCAAGATAAAACCAAGAAGGAATAGGGGACCTAAACATAACAATAAGAAATAAAACAAGATTGAATTATTAATAAATAGTCTGTCAAGTGAAGCACAGGAATGGATTGTTCTTTTTGGTAATTCTACAAAACTCAAAAAAAAAAAACAAAAAAAACCAAAAACAAAAAACTAACACTGATTGTTTCCAAACTCTTTCAAAAAATTGAAAAGGAGGGATTTTTTTCTAACTCATTCTACATGGTTAGCATTACTCTGATCCCCAAACCAGACAAAGACACAACAACAAAAAAAGAAACCTACATACCAATATCCCTGAAGAGTACAGATGCAAAAATACTAAAAAAGAAGAAAGAAAGAAAGAAAGAAAGAAAGAAAGAAAGAAAGAAAGAAAGAAAGAAAGAAAGAAAGAAAGAAAGAAAGACATTAGCAAATTGAATCCAACAGCACATCAAAAAGGTAATAATACATCATGATCAAGTGGGATTCATCCCGTAGATGTCAGGATGGTTCAATATATGCAAATCAATAAATGTGATACATCATATCAACAGAACAAATGACAAAAATCATAATGATCTTAATAGATGCAGAAAAAATATTTGGTAAAAGTCAACATCCCTTCATTATAAAAACTTTCAACATAATAGGTGTAGAAGGAACTTATCTCACTTCAATAAAGGCCATATATGTCAAACACACAGCTCACACACTGAAGGTGGAAAAGCTTAAATTTTTTTTCTAAGATCAAGGATGTCCCCCTTTCACCACTCTAATTCTATACGGTACTGGAAAGTCCTAGTCAAAGAAATCAGGCAAGAGAACAAAACTAAAGGCATCCAAATTAAAAAAGAAAAAGTCAAATTGTTTCCTCTTCAATATGATATGATTGTATACACAGAAAAACCTAAAGACTCTACCAAAAACTTTTTAAAACTGATAAATGAATTCATTAACGTTGCAGAATACAAAATCAACATAAAAATATCAGTAGTGTTTTTACACAGCAATAACAAACTAGTTGAAAAATAAATCAAGAAAGCAATTCCATTTATAATAGCTACAAATGAAATAAAATAGAAAACCTCAAAAAATTTAGCCAATGAGGTGAAAGATCTCTATGATGAAAACTATAAAACACTGATGAAAGAAATAGAAGAGGACACAAAGAATTTGGAAAAACATCTTATGTTCATGAATTGGAAGAGTTAATATTGTTCAAATGACCACACTGCTCAAACAAGTCTACCAATTCTGTGCAATTCCCATCAAAGTATCAATGACGACTCTCACAGAAATAGAAAAAGCAGTCCTAAAATTTTTATTAAATCACATAGGATACTGAAAAACCAAAGCAATACTGAACAAAAAGAGCAAAGCTTGAGGCATCACGCTATCTGACTTTAAAATATACTACAAGGCAATAGTAAACAAAAAATCATGATACTGGCAGAAAAAATGAAAACAGACTAATGGAACAGAATAGAGAACACAGAAATGAATCTGTATATTTACAGTCAACTGATTTGCAACAAAGGTGCCAAAAACATACATTGGAAAAACCATAGTTTCTTCAATGAATGGTTCTGGGAAAATTGGACTTCTATATGCAGAAGAATGAAACTAGACCCGTATCTTTCACCATATACAAAAATCAACTCAAAATGGATTAAAGATATAATGTAAAACCTGAAATTATTAGAATGCTAGAAGAAAATATAGGAAAAATACTAAAGGACATTGATCTAGGCAAAGCTTTCATGGATAAGGCTTTAAAAACATAGCTACAACAGCAAAAATGGACAAATGGGACTATAAAAAACTGAAAAGCTTCTGTACATCAAAGGAAACAGCACAGCAAAGAGACAACCTGTAGAATGTAAAACTATTTGTAAACTATTTATCCATCAGATGACTAATAACCAGAATACAAAAGGAACTCAAACGACTCAGTAGCAAAAACAAAATAAAACAAAAATTCAATTAACAAATGGCCAAAGGATCTGAATAGACTTGAAATGAAAAAAAAAAAGGCAATCACAGCAGCAACAAAAATAAATAAATGGGACCTGATCAAATTAAAAAGCTTCTGCACAGCCGAAGAAACTATCAAGAGAGCAAACAGACAACACACAGAATGGGAGAAAATTTTCACAAGCTACACATGCGATAAGGGCTGATAACTAGAATTTATTTAGAACTCAGGAAAATCAGCAAGGAAAAATCAAACAACCCTATCAAAAAATGGACAAAGGACATGAACAGAAATTTTTCAAAAGAAGACAGAATAATGGCCAACAAACATATGAAAAAATGTTCAACATCTCTAATCATCAGGGAAATGCAAATCAAAACTGCAATGAGATATCACTTATCCCTGGTAAGAATGGCCTTTATCAAAAAGTCCCCAAACAATAAATGTTGGTGTGGATGTGGAGAGATAGGAATACTCCTACACTGCTGGTGGGACTGCAAACTAGTTCAACCTCTCTGGAAAGCAATATGGAGATACCTTAAAGCAATACGAGTAGATCTATTATTTGATCCAGCAATTCCACTAACTGGGCATCTATCCAAAAGATCAAATGACACTCTATAAAAAAGACATTTGCACTAAAATGTTTATAGCAGCACAATTCACAATTGCAAAGTTGTGGAAACAACCCAAGTCCCCATCAATACATGAGTGGATTAATAAAATGTGGTATATGTATACCATAGAGTACTATTCAGTTTTAAGAAACAATGGTGATATAGCACCTCTTGTATATTCCTGGATAGAGCT